CCTGTGTCAGAGCTGCATGTGTAGGTAGGGAAGCCTAGGAGGAAGGCTGAATCTCCACAATTGACAGAGGCATATGTTGCCTTCCTCCACCCATCTCCCTTCTACTCCTACCAAACCCACAATACTCACTAGAGGATGCATGGCCTCTGGGTGTGACGCCTCCCTGGCTCAAGGCCCAGGCCTGTGAATTTCCTGGAACTTGGGGGGCTCTGGTGTTGGGGTCGCCACTGCTGAATTCTCCACGATGCATGTGCAGGCCAGGTGGCCCTGGCCTGGGCGTTGGAAGCTGAAACAAAAATTTCTCAGAGCTGGGCCAGGGCGAGTGAGTGTGAGCATGTATGTGCAGCAGCTGGGGTGAGGTGGGCAGTAAGCAGGGGGGTTCGGAGGCGATAGTCTTATTAGCACGTTCTCCCTCAGTCAGCCCCAGGCAGGTAGGCAGCTCTGAGTCAGGGAAACTGGGAATGGTGAGACCCTCCAGGCCCCCTGCCAGGCACAGTTGGGGAACAGCTAGGAAGGAGGAGTCAGGAGGCTGAAGAGTCTAGACACCCAAGCTTTACAGCCCAAAACTTAAGGGTCCTGATTCATCCCATCCCATCCCTGGGGAAGATGCAGGAAACATGCAAAGTGTCAAGAACAGTGCCTGGCACGTACCCAGTGCTCTCTTAATGTGTGCCCCTACTAAAATGACCCCAATTGGGCATCCTAATGACCGTGGACTCACAAGGACAGGCCCTGAGCAAAGGACAAAGTAAAGATGCCTGTGTCAGGGAGGGGAACTATGGGCAGACAGGAAGACGATGTCATACTCACTTGGGCCTTTGGGCCTGGATCTCTATTGGGGTCATTGTCATCTCTAGACACAGGCTGGGAATGCTTTGTCTTCTTTGCCCCAGATTTCTTCCCAGTGCTGCCATGCTTGGAGTGTTTGGGTCCCAAGGAGAGCAACGAGTAGCTCTTCGACCTCGCCAGCAGGGGAACACCAGCGATTGGGGGGAAGGTCGCTGGTTCCAGGGGAACTGCTGACAGTCTCTGTCCCCATGGAGGAAATGCTCTCCCGAGGGCCAATTTAGAGGCGGCCCCTAGTAACTTCTTCTCCTGGGCCACCTTCTTCTTAGGAACGGCCCGGGGCAGGCTGCCCACGGTGGCAGTAGCAGCAGCTCCTGGGAAGATGGGCCTGTTGCCTGCCTTCCCCGACACCACACTCTGCATTTTCTTCGAGGAAGAGCTGTCCAGCTCTCCAACGGCCTGCCTTTCCATGCCTGAAGTGAGTCCTCGGGAAGCAGAGGTCAAGAGAGAGCCTGGCGTGGGAAGGAAGTCCTCCCTGACAAGCAAACTCGAGTGTCTGGGTGTGTCCCCGGGATCCTCGGCGCTGCTGGGCTCGCCCGGGTCTCCTCCTTTGGGGTAAATGCTCACCCTCATCGGCACCTCACTGAACTCACATTGTGACTCGGGGTCGGAAGGCAGCTCGACCAGGCCTACCACGGAGGGCTGCTGGGGAACCCTGCCGCCCGCGCTCTGCTTACTTTTAGCGCCTCTTTTCTGGGGCGCCATGACGGAGGGAGGGGCGGCAGAGGCGGCCAAGGTGCCTCGACCACTCAGACCTGCCCCCAGGTCCGGCCACACGGTGGACACTTGGGCGTCGCGGCCCTCTGAGCACGGGTGTCTGCGGACACCCCGGATAGCCCAGTCGCTCATCGGCTGCACGATGGCCATCGATTTGTCAGCCAGGAGGGACTCGTAGTCTAGATCGTCCCCCATCTCGTCAGTCGGGGTGCAGGGGCGGCCTTCCCGGCCCCAAAGCACAGTCCTTCCCTCCTCTATCACTTGCTGCTCAGCCTCGAAGCCCTCGGGGTCTGCCAGCCCGCCCTCGCCCTCGCAGATCCATGGCGTCCCCACATTGAGGCCTAGGCTAGGGCCCCGCAGGGCTTCGAAGCCAGCCCGCTCCCCGCCCTCCAGGCCAAAAGCAGACGCCAAAACAGATACCTCATCATCGGGGAAACTCATGTCGCCAGTTTCATCAACCCAGGTGTTGGCAGAAGGTTGCCTTTTTCTCTGCAGGAGAGCCCCGCACATGCCGGCCTCAGAAGCAGCGCTAACACGGCATGTTTGCCTCAGGAGCCACAGGAAATGGCCTCAAACAAGGCATCGTGTTCAAAGCCCACCTTCTCAACTCCACGGACTTCTGATTGGTTCGCTTCCATGTGCTCATCTGCCTCCTTTCTGAGGCCTCGTCCTTCTGATTGGTTCTCTTCCCCCAGCCCCCACTAACCAGTGCAGCCCTTGTTTGGCCATCTCTTGGGCCCCAACTAATAGCAGACAAGGGTGTTTGGGTCGCCCAAAGCCAGTCGTTTGGTTCGTTGGAATCCTGCTGTGTCACAGGGTCCTGGTCTCACGCTTCTGTCCCACCACTTTCTCCCTGTCCCTCTGCCGGGTATCTGCTTTCACACTGAGAGCCACGTCTCTGAGCCTCAGTTTCCCATCTGTAAAGTGGGCTAAGTAACAGCACCCAGTTCAGGGGTTTGTGAGGGTCAATGATGGATGCAAAGCACCCAGCGCACAGAGGATTTGCATGGCTCTATTCCACACTTGCCACCCGATAGGAAGCCCACAGTCAGTAATCAGAGGATTCACGGTTTTCTTTTCCATGTCTTTGAAAAATTCCCTTGCTGCTTCTCAGATTGGATAATTTCAGTTGACCCTTCTTGAAGTTCACTGATTCTTTGCCTACTCAAAACTACAATTGGCCCCCTTGGTGGGTTTTCATTTCAGTTATTGCACGTTCAGCTCCATAATCGTGCTTTGGTTCCTTTTTGTAATTAGTGTCTTTTTATTAATATTGTCTATGTGGTTATGTATTTATGCTTCTGGTTTTATTTAGGTCTTTGAGTGTATTTGAGACAAAGAAGTTAACCTCTTTGTTTACTATGTCCAAGGTCTGTGCTTCCTCAAGCACAGTTTCTGTTAATATCTTCTGTAAATTCGCCATCCTCATGAGGTTTTTAAATTTTTTTTATTTTTCGCATGCTCATTATGTTGTTAACAACGGATTTTTGGTTATTGTAATAGGGTAACTCTGAACATCATAATCCAAGATTTTTTTTTCTTAGTGTGGAACGTACCTGTTTATTTGTTGTTTTCTAATCTATTTTTGTAATTTGTATTCTTTATCATGTGTGCTCTCTGAGTCTTTGTTCCTTTAGTTTAGAGGTCCTCAAACTTTTTAAACAGGGGGCCAGTTCACTGTACCTCAGACCATTGGAGGGCCGGACTATAGTTTAAAAAAAACTATGAACAAATTCCTATGCACACTGCACATATCTTATTTTTAAGTAAAAAAACAAACGGACAAAAACACCCGCATGTGGCCTGCGGGCCATAGTTTGAGGATGCCTGCTTTAGTTCATGTTCAGCTAGTGTTTTGACCGAAACATCTTTGAATGCTGAGCGCAGGAGGTGGCTGCGGAGCAGAGGAGGAGCAGAGGAGGAAGAGAAGGAGGAGAAAGAAGAAAGAATGAGGAAGAACAACAAAAGCCTCTTGCAGTCTTTGCACATTTGTTATGTGCTTGGGGATTTGTTCAGTGCTTAGCCAGGCCATTTAAAACTCCACCATAGACTTCACTTCCAGCTTGACTGAGACTAGACAGCAGCCAGACTTGAAAGTTTAGGTTCTTTTCAGGACTTCTGTAAGCATGCATCCATCACTGGACATGCACATGGCTTTCTAAATTTCCCAGTAAACATGGACAATTTTGAATGATCTAATTTCCCCATCTCCCCAGCTTTTCCTCTTAAACTTTGAGCACTCTTTTGAATGAATTAACTATAATTTGTTGCTAGAAGCTGGATACTGTTTGCCTTACAATGTTTTAAAGCAATATGTGCCTATTTTTGTTTCCTGAGTGAGTTCTGAATGAGGTGCATTAGCCCTTTGGCTATGCCCAGACAGACTAGAACAGACAAAATTCTTTGAGATAAATCAGCTGGGATGTCTTCAGAAGTAGAGACCAGAGTCTCACACTGGGAGTGCAGACTCAGTATAAAAAACTACCTGTGAGACGGGTGGTGTCCCAGGGTACTGATGAATAAAAATGCTACAGTTCTTACATAGAATTCTTAAATTGCCCTTTTCCTGGTTAAACATTTACTTCGTTGCTGTAAACCTTAATTATTTTCCAGAATATTAATAAAGTTGATTTTCATACTTTTTGTTGATGTTTGGATGTTTTCATACAGGGACTGATGGTTGAAGCTATCTGCTTCACCACGTTTACAGATGTTCATGCAAACAAAGCACCCTCGTCCCTATTGGTTGGGGCCTGAGAGGCTGCCAAACAAGGGGCGCGCTGGATGGTGGGGGCTGAGGGAAGCCAACCAATGAGAAGGCCGCGGCGCCCAGAAGGCGGGCGTTGAGCACAGGCTTTTTTGAGGCCATCTGGTGGGGCCCCTGAGGCAATGGCGCTGCCTTCAGACTTGGTGTTCCTGAGGCGAGCGTGTGCTGAGCTCTCCTTGCTTGATAAGGGCAATAGTCTGCCCATAACCCCGGGTGATCGAAGCGGTGATATGAGGTCCTCCGGTGAGGTATCTGTTTCCGGGGTACGGAGGTGTCTGTATCAGGGGCAGCCTTCATCCTTGAGGGCGGGAAGTGGGCCAGCGTCCGCCACAATGGCTGCAGGGCCCTGGCCTAGGCGTCTATCTGGGGGTGACTCGGATCAGTGAGGGCAAGGGCGCTCTTGTGAACCCCAAGGGCTTCTAGGCAGAGCGGGAAGTGATAAAAGTGGGAGGGGCCGGGAAGGCCGCCCCTGCACCCCGACTGACGAGATGGGGGACGATCTAGACTACGAGTCCCTCCTGGCTGACAAATCGATGGCCATCGTGCAGCCGATGAGCGACTGGGCTATCCGGGGCGTCCGCAGACACCCGTGCTCAGAGGGTCGCGACGCCCAAGTGTCCACCGTGTGGCCGGACCTGGGGGCAGGTCTGAGTGGTCGAGGCGCCCTGGCCGCCTCTGCCGCCCCTCCCCCCGTCATGGCGCCCCGGAAAGTCCGGGCCCGCGGGAACCAGAAAAGAGGCGCTAAAAGTAAGCAGAGCGCGGGCGGCAGGGTTCCCCAGCGGCCCTCCGTGGTAGGCCTGGTCGAGCTGCCTTCCGACCCCGAGTCACAATGTGAGTTCAGTGAGGTGCCGATGAGGGTGAGCATTTACCCCAAAGGAGGAGACCCGGGCGAGCCCAGCAGCGCCGAGGATCCCGGGGACACACCCAGACACTCGAGTTTGCTTGTCAGGGAGGACTTCCTTCCCACGCCAGGCTCTCTCTTGACCTCTGTCTGCTTCCCGAGCACTCACTTCAGGCAAGGGAAGGCAGGCCGTTGGAGAGCTGGACAGCTCTTCCTGGAAGAAAATGCAGGGTGTGGTGTGGGGGAAGGCAGGCAGCGGGCCCAGCTTCCCAGGAGCTGCTGCTGCCGCCTTGGGCAGCCTGCCCCGGGCCGTTCCTAAGAAGAAGGTGGCCCAGGAGAAGAAGTTCCTAGGGGCCGCCTCAAACTTGGCCCTGGGGAGAGTATTTCCTCCATGGGGGCAGAGACTGTCAGCAGTTCCCCTGGAACCAGCCACCTTCCCCCCAATCGCTGGTGTTCCCCTGCTCGGGAGGTCCAAGAGCTACTCCTTGCTCTGGTAGGGACACAAAGAGTCCAAGTACAACAGCACTGGGAAGAAATGTGTGGCCAGGAAGGCAAAGAAATCCCAGCCTGTGGCCAGAAGCGATAATGGCCCCAATAGAGATCCAGGCCCAAAGGCCCCATTGAGTAGAACATCTTCTTCCTATCTGCCCACACTTCCCCTTCCCGGCACATGCATCTTTACTGTGTGCCTTACTGAGGGCCTGTCCTTGTGAGTCCACATTCATTACGATGTCGCATTGGGGCCAGCTTAGTAGGGGCACACATTAAGAGAGCACTGGGTACGTGCCAGCCACTGTTCTTGACCTTTCCCATGTTTTCTGCCTCCTCCCCACAGAGGAGTTGGGCTGGCACCTGATTTGGATCAGAGCACCCTTAAAAGTTTGGGCTGCAAAGCTTGGGTGTCTAAACTCATCAGCCTCCTGACTCCTCCTTCCTAGCTGTTCCCCAACTGTGCCTGGCAGGAGGCCTTGACTGTCTCAGCATACCCATGTTTTCCCTGGCTGAGACCTGCCTGCCCACCTGGGCCTGACTAAGGGAGAAAGTGCTAATGAGATTATCGCCTTCAAATCCCCCTCCTTTCTGTCCGCCTCACCCCAGCCCTTGTACATACATGCTCACACTCACACGGCCTGGCCCAGCTCTGAGAAATTTTTGTTTCAGCTTCCAATGCCCAGGCCGGGGCCACCTTACCTGCACATGCATCGTGGAGGATTTGGCAGTGGTGACCGCAGCAGCAGAGCTCCCCAAGTTCCAGGAAACTCACAGGCCTGGGCCTTAAACCAGGGAGGCGTCACTCCTAGAGGCCCTGCACCCTCCAGTGAGTCTTGTGGGTTTGGTAGGAGTGTAGGGGTGAGGGGTAGAGGTGAGCCAACTCTGGATCTGTCACTTCTGGGGGCTAAGCCTTTCTCCCAGGCTTCCCTTCCTATCAAGGCAGCTATCCACAGAGAATGGGGTGTCAACAGGGCCGGGGTAGGGGTGATTTGTAGCAGCACCCCAAACTCTGACTCCAGAACTAGACTCTAAGCAGAGGAGAGACTTTTAAGGTAAGTCTTGTTCAACCCCATCACTCCTCCCACGGCTGGCTGTGGCTGCAGCTGTGCTAGCCTCCAACCCAGAGCCACAATGCTAGGGGGCCACAGGCACAGATGGCCTGACACTGGGGAACAGGAACAGGGAAGGCAGGCCCAGAGACAAGGCTGCAGCTGCTGGGCCGAGCAGGAGCCACTTGCTGCCAGCAGAGGGTGACGCTGCCTCACTTTAGACCCCAGCATACCCTGTCCACCTCCAGGCTGTGAGGCTTGGAAGCTGGATTCCGTGTTTTCTTTCAGGTCACCAGGAGCCACCTGTCCATGCCCCAAGACCGGAAAGGCACCAGGAAGCAACTGGAGGATAGGAATGTCCTCGGGTAATGTCTGGTCTGGTTCTCAGGAACCTAGGTCCTAACTGGATGATTGGAACCTTGTCGAGGTTAAACTGAATTCTGTGTGGTCCCCTCCTCCTCCCATCTTCCACCCACCAGAGAGAGGGCTCCTCCTTTCCACTGAAGATTCCTTGCTGCTCTGGCCACTGGGCTGTGGGTGGTGGGCAGCATGTAAGGGTCATGGGGGAGAGAGGACAAGAAGAGAGGAGGCCAGAATACACTGATCATTTCTCTTCCTCCCGCGTCCACTCGGCTAGTGTGCTGAGCTGCAGAGAGAGAGAGACGACCTTAAACAGCAACTAGGTATGATGAACTAGGTATGATGCTATGGCTCAGGCCGGGGGAGGGGCTGGGACAGACCATGGTATCTCCCTGCAAGTGCTGGGGATACGGGGCAGGGATGGGCTGCAGATGCCGGCGGCATCCCGGGAAGCGACGTTCCCGTGGGGAGAAGAACCAAGCAGGCCTGGCTCTAGAGCCTTCTGTGCACTCACAGCCAGGGGTGTGCACAGATAGAAATGTAGCAGCTGAGCTCCGTGTACACTTTGCCAAGGAATCCCACAGAGCTCCTTTCCTTAGCACGTTTAGTGCTACCTCCTTTATTTCCCCCTTTCCGTACTTGGTATGGCTTGTTCGGGTTTGTTGTTGTTTCTTTGCTTGTTTGTCCTTTTAACACATTCTGGATGGTTCTGGTGTGCCCCAGCGTTTGACAAACACTGGTACATTTTGTTTCCATTTAGAAGACATTACCACGTAAAATTCAGGTGGTGGGGCGTTAGTGGGTCCCAGGGCTGCCTGGACAGGAGCTGCTGAGGTTTCAGGTTGCAGGGCTGGGCGGTTCCCCTCGGGGGCACAGAGATGGGTCTCTGTATCCCTCTGTCTGGAGTGCCGGGTTATGCCTCTCTATTCCAGCGGACATGCAGCGCCTCACTGACAAGTTCCAGGCCCTTTGAAGTGAGTGAGTGAGTGTTACACGTACCATTCCCCTTCCCGAGAGCTGGTGCCTTCGGGGGTCTGTGGGCTGGCCCTGACTGTGCTCTGCTTGACAGGTTGAACCCAGCCTCTTCCTACAAGACAAGCAGCTGGTGCCTTTGGATCCCAGGAGCTTCGGCCAAGCTGCTTCCCGCCGTTTCTTTTTCAACCACGGCTACCTCTCGCCCTCTGCTCTTTTCCTCTCCTGACCCCAGTTTATAAGAAATGATCCAATTAAAGTAGCTCTCATATTCTGATATTTTGTGGTCTGCTCTATTGTGTGGGGGAGGGGATGTTGCACGGGAGAAGGGGGGGGGCAGCAGGTCCATTTTGGAGCATTTGAAACCTGGTGCCCTGGAACCCTGTGCTCAGTCCTCTCCCTGAGGGGCATCTGGGACAGGATCTGGATGGCAGCCCTGCACTCAGGCTCACCATACCGCCCTGGGTCTAGCCTCTGTAGGGGCCTTGCCCAGTCACATCAGCAGGCCCTGTTCATGGTCCCTCCCAATGTCTTTCCATTTGGGGGTCTCACGGTTCCCAGTCTGTGCGTCTGTGCCGCTCCTTCCCCCTCCCCTTCAGCAGGAACTAATTGACCTGCCAGAGATCCCACCACTATTTACCTCCTCAATGGTTCGCTGTCCTGGTTCTCCCCCCTCGCCCTTCTTTTCTGTCACGAGCATCCTTGGTCTCTCCCATGGCTTCATGCCCCTGGTCTTTCCCGCACGGTCATTGCAGCAGGTGTTAAAGAGCACGGTTGAGCTCCTCCCCAGCCGGGGCCCCGGTCTCTTTCTGGAGTCACGCTCTCCCTCTGGTGCCACCACGTACACGCACAGCTCGGCCAGGAACCCGAGCATCATCCTCAGTTCCTCTGTAGCCCTCACCTTTGACACTCGCTTACCAAACCCCGGGAGTTCTCCCGCCATACTTGCAGTGGAGGGGTGGAGCGAAAGGAGAGCTGCAGGGAGCAGGGGAGAAGGGAGTAGGTTGGATTCCGGGCTGCAGGTGGGGGAACTGAGTGCGCTCTGGGACCAAGCAAGGGGACCATGCTGGCAGCTAGGACAGATGGTCTAGTGATCAGAGCTTCCACATCCCTCATGGCCTATCCAGCCAACCGCCCCTCCTCTGGCCTCTATGGCTCCGCGGCCTCCAATTTGACAAGGCCAGTTAGTTTCCAGGGCGAGTGTGCATGCTAGGTCTGAATGTTCTTGGATGGTCCCCATCAGACACCTTTCGGCAACCCCCATGACACAGACTTGGCTGGACGTGATATTTCCGTGTCCCAGCTCAATCTTCCAGACTGCCTCCCGAGGCCACATGAGATTCTGTCTGAGCTCCCTGTGACTTCACCTTCCCTGACAGCTGGGGTCGCCTCCTTCCTTCGGCCAGGGTCCCGGGCCAGCCAGCCTGACACTCATAGGGACACATTGATGTGAGTGAGGTGAGTGCATGTTCCGAAGCTCCCATCGCCCAGAGACTGGGTGTTTCCCAGACAAGCAGGGGACAAGTGCAGATACCATCCGGGGTGAGCGTGTGCAGGGAGGGATCCGTCTGTGTGTGTGTCTGTGTGTCTTTCTGTGTGCTTGTGAATCTCATCGGCCATGACCTCCCAGGAGGGAGAAAGAGCTGATTCAGGGAGCGGGGCAGTGGGCCAGCATCCTCAAGGGATCCAAGGAGTCGAAGCAAGGGTGGGGTCTACCTTTCACGAGAGGTGTTCTTCAAGTGCGGAAAACACACAGGAGCGCCCAGAGTGGGTGGAAGTGGAAGTGGCCAAGCCCAGTGCCGGGCGCCAGGGCTCTCAGATGCTGGAGTCCCCGGAGTAGGCCCTGGATCCTCTGTTTGACAAATGAGATGTCTCAAAAGTCCTGTGCGTGTGGGTGGATGATAGCGTGAAGGCTGGCTACGACACAGTAGGTGGGATGTGCCTTACCTGTGAGGCAAAGGGCTCCCGTGGGAGACTGCCCCGTGTGAGTTGACCGAGTCACGGGTAGGATGGGCGCAGTGAGGATGGAAAGTAGGGAAGAGGGACAGCACTTGGAAAACTGCTCAGGCGTGGCACCACCCCTGCCCATATTCTCACTTTGCCTCCCTTCCGTGCCGCGTGGCATGAGCTTAGGGACAGGGACCATCACGCGTGTGGTGGGACAATCACAGACCTCAGAGCCAGAAAGGAACATGAGTGGGGATTTAAACCATCTGCTTCAAACCCTCCCTTGAGAGGGCAGGCTTGATTTTGCAGGCTGAACCTTTGACCCCGACCCAAGTGGTGGCTTCTTAGCAGGGTAACAGCGGGGCTGGCGTCTGGGTGCAGACGTGAGGCAGAGACTTTCCAACTTGGGATTCTGACACACACAGAGCCTACACCCAGGGCGCTCCTGTGAGACTGAGCACGGGGCTGCCACCCGGTTCTTGGCGCAGGCACCCTGCAGGGAGAGGACGGACCCCAGAGTGCAAGGCTACTGTTTGTAAAGTATATAAAATGGACCAGCACCCCCACCCCTGCCCTACCCCACAACGCCCCCTCCCCCAAGAAAGAGGGCAGACCACAGAAGATGAGAATATGAGAGATACTTTAATTGGATAGTTTGCTACAAACTGGGGTCAGGAGAGGACAAGAGCAGGTGTCAAAAGAAAGCCATGGCTGAGGAAAAAACGGCAAGAACGAGCTTGGCTGCAGCTCCTGGGCTCCAAAGGTACCAGCTGCTTGTCTTATAGGAAGAGGCTGGGTTCAACCTGTCAAACAGAGCAGAGTCAGGGTCAGTCCAGGAGCCAGGGCCAGCCCACAGTACCCCCAAAGCCACCTGCTTTGCGGGAAGAAGAATGGTTCGTGTAACACTCACTCACTGACTTCAAAGGGCCTGGAACTTGTCAGCGAGGCACTGCATATCCGCTGGAATAGAGAGGCATTACCGGGCACTCCAGACATAGAGATACGGAAACCCACCATTCTATCCCTCGGGGGAACCACCCAGCCCTGCAACCTGAAACCTCAGCAGCCCCTGTCTAGGCAGCCCTAGGACCCACTCACCCTCCACCACCTGAATTAAACGGAGGAATGACTTCTAAATGGGATCAAAATGTACCAGTGTTTGTCAAACCCTGGGGCACACCAGAACCATTCAGAATGTGTTAAAAGGACAAGCAAGCAAAGAAACAAGAAAACCCGTACAAGCCATACCAAGCAGGAAAGGGGGAAATAAAGGAGGTAGTGCTAAACATCCTAAGGGAAGGAGCCCATTGGGTTCCTTGGCAAAGTGTACCAAGAGCGAGCCAATACATTTCTACCCATGCACACCCCTGGTTGTGAGTGCACAGAAGGCCCCAGGGCCAGGCCTGCTTGGTCCTCCCCATGGGAACATCGCTGCCAGTGAAGCCACCAGCACCTGCAACCCATTCCTGCCCTGTGCTCCCAGCACCTGCAGGAAGACACCGTGGTCTGTCCCAGCCCCTGACCCAGCCCGAACCGGGGGTTCATCATACCTAATTGCTGCTTAAGGTCGTCTATCTCTCTCTGCAGCTCGGCACACTAGCCCAGGTGATGCGGGAGGAAGAGAAACGATCAGTGTATTCTTGCCTCCTATTTCATGGTCCTCCCCCTCACCTGTGGCCCTTACATGCCCCACCGCCCACAGCTCAGTGGCCAGACTAGCAAGGAATGCTCAGTGGAAAGGAGGAACTCTCTCTCTGTGCAGTGGGGGATCAGGGGAGGCGGGGACAACACAGAAGTCACTTTAACCTGGACACAGTTCCCACCATCTAGTTAGGATCTATTTTTCTAGGGGCCAGACCAGGCATTACCCGAAGACAGCCCTGTGCTCCGGGTGGTTGCTGCTGCCTTTCCCGTCTTGAAGCTTGCACGGGTGGCTCCTGGTCACCTGAAAGACAACACAGAATCCAGCTTCCAAGCCTCACAGCCTGGAGGAGGACAGGGCATACTGGGGTCTAAAGTGAGGCAGCGTCACCCTCTGCTGGCAGCAAGTGGCTCCTGCTCGGCCCAGCAGCTGCAGCCTTGTCTCTGGGCCTGCCTTCCCTGTTCCTGTTCCCCAGTGTCAGGCCATCTGTGCCTGTGGCCCCCTAGCATTGTGGCTCTGGGTTGGAGGCTAGCACAGCTGCAGCCACAGCCAGCCATGGAAGGAGTGATGAGGATGAACAGGACTTCACTTAAAAGTCTCTGCTCTGCTGAGAGTCTAGTTTTCGAGTCAGAGTTTGGGGTTCTCCTACAAATCCTACCACAGCCAAGTTGATGCACTGTTCCCTGTGTCAGAGCTGCATGTGTAGGTAGGGAAGCCTAGGAGGAAGGCTGAATCTCCACAATTGACAGAGGCATATGTTGCCTTCCTCCACCCATCTCCCTTCTACTCCTACCAAACCCACAATACTCACTAGAGGATGCATGGCCTCTGGGTGTGACGCCTCCCTGGCTCAAGGCCCAGGCCTGTGAATTTCCTGGAACTTGGGGGGCTCTGGTGTTGGGGTCGCCACTGCTGAATTCTCCACGATGCATGTGCAGGCCAGGTGGCCCTGGCCTGGGCGTTGGAAGCTGAAACAAAAATTTCTCAGAGCTGGGCCAGGGCGAGTGAGTGTGAGCATGTATGTGCAGCGGCTGGGGTGAGGTGGGCAGTAAGCAGGGGGGTTCGGAGGCGATAATCTTATTAGCACGTTCTCCCTCAGTCAGCCCCAGGCAGGTAGGCAGCTCTGAGTCAGGGAAACTGGGAATGGTGAGACCCTCCAGGCCCCCTGCCAGGCACAGTTGGGGAACAGCTAGGAAGGAGGAGTCAGGAGGCTGAAGAGTCTAGACACCCAAGCTTTACAGCCCAAAACTTAAGGGTCCTGATTCATCCCATCCCATCCCTGGGGAAGATGCAGGAAACATGCAAAGTGTCAAGAACAGTGCCTGGCACGTACCCAGTGCTCTCTTAATGTGTGCCCCTACTAAAATGACCCCAATTGGGCATCCTAATGACCGTGGACTCACAAGGACAGGCCCTGAGCAAAGGACAAAGTAAAGATGCCTGTGTCAGGGAGGGGAACTATGGGCAGACAGGAAGACGATGTCATACTCACTTGGGCCTTTGGGCCTGGATCTCTATTGGGGTCATTATCATCTCTAGACACAGGCTGGGAATGCTTTGTCTTCTTTGCCCCAGATTTCTTCCCAGTGCTGCCATGCTTGGAGTGTTTGGGTCCCAAGGAGAGCAACGAGTAGCTCTTCGACCTCGCCAGCAGGGGAACACCAGCGATTGGGGGGAAGGTCGCTGGT